GTAAGGTAAAGTAAGGTAAGCCGGTAAGGTAAGGTAGGTGAGGTAAGGTAAGGTTAGGTGAGATGAGTTGAGAACCGTAAAGTAGTTGTCCTTCTATGACGTATCAATCAATCATGAGAAATTTTTCTTCATCTTCAAGATACATAAAAGGCAACACGTTTCCAGTTTCTGGCTCWAATGAAGCTGTCCTCACCCGCCAAATGGAAACCCAGAAAAGAATGATCCGCATGACGGTGGTGGCTGTCATCCTSTTCTTCATCAGCTGGTCTCCCTACTGCATCGTCAGTCTCATGGCTACAGCCTACGGCAGACCCATCCTGAAAGGTGGTATTTCCCTCGTTCCTGAACTCATGGCAAAAGCATCGGTCGTGTACAACCCTCTGGTTTACACCTTCATGAACACCAAATTCAGAGTGACCTTGAAGAATGTGCTCAGATTGAACTACAACGCCGTCAACCCGACTAGCAGCGATGAGATTTGTGATGCTTCGGTGACAGATGTTGGACCGCAAACGGAAAGCGGCGTCGTCAAAGTGGACAAGTTTTCAAGGTAAAATTTGCAGTAATGATTCCGCAGTCAAACGGTTCGATGTTTAATGCCCAAATCTAAAGACCCTTCGTTTAACCCGGTATTGTTACACTATTGTTAAGCTTGAAAGAAACAGTTAAGAACGTCAGTAAAACTTTGACAACATGACTTATGTCCAGACTAATGTGTGTCACTTATACTTTTCTTTCTAATGCTTTTTTTAATTTTTTCTTCTTCTTCTTTTTTCTTTCTAGATAATCCTAAAAACTTGCTTACCTCAAAACATTCAAACTTTATATCTTCTGCCGTGGTAGAAAGGCGAACATCTTTAAACCGCAAACTGATTCTCATAAAGATTTTCAGACTTTTTCCAGACTTTTTTAGTTAAAAGTCGAAAAATTTTCAGTGTTTAATAGAAAAACGAGTTGAATTAGTCTTCTCGTAAATGTAAAGCATAAATATGTCTGAAAAACGAGCCAGCTGTTAAATATTGGTGAAAGCGCCAGCTTGCCTCGTGCTTTCCGCTATAAAAATCTGCCTATGGTTTCAAAATGAAAAATCTTGAAGGTTAAGAAAAAATATCTATTAATCAATTACCCAAAGCCTAAGGTTCGTTTACATTGAATGCATAACTTTTCTAATGTTTGTACTACTATGCTTGTACCTGAAAACCCTCCAATTTTACGTGTTGGATACGAAGCAGCCATRTTTGTTTTATTCAATGGGTTGGCGCATGCGCATATACACCACGCTTTTCAGCCCTGTTSATTTGCCATTTATCCTAATTAGAAAACTTTGTAGTGGGTTTCCTGTGTTGGTACTAGATCTTTTAATCGGCTTCATGTTTTCTATAGCTCGGATTTAAGCTTGATATCCAAAAAGCAATATACAATCAATACAAGTGTTCGCTAGCTTTACCGGTGTGCGCGGGCCGGAAAGTATATAATGGATCAGTTGGAAAATATCTATTCAACACACGACATTTAGGAGTCKTTTTAAGCCGTGTTTGAAATTGATAATTCTTTTCATTCTCTCCAGCTTCGAAATCTTCAATATAAAAAAGTATTAAAAACCGCTTGATGCAAAAGCGTAATCTACAATCAGTCTCCTACGARGYCGCTATTWGTTTCGTCACGCAACGCTCACTCCCCAAAGTAACGGTTGTGTTTGGGTAAAGCACCCGCTACTTAATGGAGTGAGCRTCTCGTGRCGACACTAATAGCGGCTTCCTATGAGACTATCTAAAAATCTAATGATATAATATATCGTTCTCATTTCATGCTAAAACGTTTAAACCAATAACATCAAAACGTGACCCTAACTAAGAAATGAAGATTGTCAAGTTTTTTTGTTTTGTTTTTTTTGGTTTTTTTTTTTAATCTTTTCATGTCTAATAGTCGAATAAAAACAAGATAAAACAATTATTGTCTAATATTCATGTGTTATGGTGGAAATAAAATCTCTCATATCAGCCATAATTCGGCAAGTTATTTGTCGAACAATAAGACCCAAAATGGCCGCTTCTAATTTACACATTTTTAAGATAAAATGCTTYAAGAGGAATAAAACATGTCAATGGAAAAAAGATAACATGAATAAGAATTATGTGAAGAACTTGGGTCAAAAACGTGATTTTCTTTAAGAAACAAGACTGGTCCGTAAAGATCAGCAAAATCTAAAACTGATATCTGTAAATTAATCCCTTAAACCGTGATAACCTTTAACAAAAAACAAACTCCGTAATAACTTTTAAAAAAAGAATGCCACACGGCATGGAAACCTCTCCTGCTCTCTCACTTTTGGGCTTTTTTGGGGTAAAAATGATACACTGATGAAATTTGAAGAAGTTTAGATATATAAGTTACCTGCCTGATGTGGTACACCTTCTCGTGCGACCGTTGGCCTCACCGATTATGCAACTGTTGGCATGTGTTCTGCCTAATTTATACTAATTGTTGCGAATGATTACGCAATGAATAGAGGCTGCAAGGTAGTTTCAAAGGATCGTTTCAATTTGAACCTTGCATCCTTGGATGCTTCGTGTTTGACTAGTGATGGATGAAAAGTCGTTATACTGTAAGAGTGAAGATCCGAGAACACTTTTTTTTGTGACTTTTTCAAAATGCATGCGTACTTTGAATAATGTAAGTCATCACTTGAGCCAATCGATTGAAAATAAGATTTGTTTTGAACACTCGGTGTATTTGAACTCAATGATTCATTCCTCTTAGAGGGTTTGAAAAGTTCAGGAAATACGCTCTGGAAAAACCCCGAAGTGTTCGCGGTTCAAGGGTCCTCACTGTAAAGATAGGAAGGAAAAAAAGTCAAACAAAAGGGCGCAATRTTATTCAAATTACGCAGAGAAAACGATAAGTAAAAAAAGGAGGAACTTACAGTAATGCCAAAGAAAACAACTTGAAGTTCTACTAAGTTTAGATTTTTTTAAATCTGTTTTTAAAGCAGACCTATTCTTTTTATATGTTATCGCAAAAATTTAGTTAATTTAACTCGTGGAAAGTTGATTGACTGAAATTACTTAGTACTCGGAGTTGTTGATTGAGTTTTTGTAGTTTGAACGATTTGTGATTCATAAGTGAATGGAAATGCTGAATTTCGGTATTATCCTAAATAATTCCCCCTCCCCCCCCCCCTCCTTTTTTTAAATTCCTTTTTTAACTTAATTCTCGAAAATAATGTTTAAGGTAGATGTTCTGAGAAAATTACTTCCAAGCTTTCAAGTTGCCTTTCGAGTGGTGCACTTGGTTTCCATGATTCCGCCATTTTTCTTTCGAAACATTATCATGTTGGTAATATTCAAACTTTACTCGTGCTACTCGGGACATCCCCTTTTTATGTTCTTTATAGGCCATTTGCAACAAACAGTCACGTGCTTATATATCACTTTGCTAACAAATCGAATAAGGCAAAGGTCCCTTGGGGAAGGCTCTGCTGGATGGCARACAAACTTTAAAATGCTTCGTATCTTGAAATCGAAAATATCTTACAATCGAAAAAAAGTATTTTTWAAAATGTCTATATGAAATTAGTAATCCAGCAAAAGTTATTTAAATAAGGAATTCCGATCTTTTTTGGCTATCTAGTTACAGTCATGCATGTGATTACGTCCTGCAAATTGTGGCCTATTTCAGTAAATTCTGTGTAAAAAAAAAGAAGCTTTCTTAGGAAGTTTTCTAATTACTTTTTGCTTAAGCAGTCAGCCAACTTAATGAGTAAATACCTAACTATAACCGGCTACTTATCAGAACTCCTACTTAACAACCTTACTTACTCACTCACTCACAAATTTAATTACTTACTTACCTTTGACTTGCTTTCGGCATTARATTAAGATGCTTGGTCATTTGCTTTTAATGTTCCGTTAATTTCCTTTGCTATCTTTTTCTTTTCTTCTTCCTTCTTTCTTTCTCTCTCTCTCTCTCTCTTTCTCTCTCTCTTTCTTGATATTATCAATTTTTCATTACTTTTCTTCTATGAAAAAGGGAAGACATGAATTTTAACTCTCGTGCTTCAGTCGCTCAAATATTTATCTAAAAACGTGCCAACGTCATCAACTGCCTGATATTAAAACAAAACGTAAACATTCATTAAGAAAATGGGAGTTTATGATCTTCAATTCAATCAAACAAGCGATTTCTAGAGTTACTCTCAACATGCATTATCTGRAACATCTGCATTAAGATCAACTTCACTCCGGACGGATTGCTTAAGTGTTTAAACAATTTAAGTGAACTTGAGAAATGAAGCCTTTACCGGCAGTATCACGTAGTAAAATTTTAGGAAAATCTCTTAAATGAATATCCGGGTGGTTTTACAAAACCTTTTTTTCTTCTTTCTACTTTTGTTACCGTGTGGCATGAAAATCTGACGACTCCATTTTGATTATTTCCATTTTCTTCTTATAAATAAACTAATCGAGAAATTTATCTTCAAAATTGTTTTATGTTTTATCTGCAAGTCGTTAAACCACAAAACTAGTTAATTAAATTTTCTATTCGTAAAAGAATCCACAAAAACACTTGAATTAACCCATTCAAACGAAAGATCTTCAAATTGTATCATCAGAAGATATCTYCACACATCTTCGAAAAACAGAAAGAACGAAACGTGATCGCTTGTGGACTACACAAAAAAGTGAGTGAATTTATTACGCAAAAACGTAAATATTTGTTTCAATTTAGTATCCCTTATCTACTTATTTTCTGTTTTGTCGTGAATTTTTTTTAAAAAGTAGCGGCAGTATTAAACATAATTACACAAAACAGTTTGTTTTTCACTGTTTGTTTTAAATATTGCATTCGTTATCTAGATTTTTTATGTCGTTATACATAACTCTTTTTTTAAACTTTTCGGATGTTTTTAAAGATTTTATTCCTCTTAAGTGGACTAGCGTTCCTTACTGAAGTGAATGCTCTCTCCCTTGTCAAACTTTTGGCACGAAATATCGCATGCTAGATAATTCCCAACATTCCTGGTTAACTCACGTACAATTTTAAAACTTTCAATAAAAAGAAAACATCAAATACAAAGAAATAAAATTACGAAGAAAGACTCGATTGTTTNAAAACTTTCAATAAAAAGAAAACATCAAATACAAAGAAATAAAATTACGAAGAAAGACTCGATTGTTTGTTACCCTGTTTTTTTTTATGGCTTACTTAATAAACGTCCAGAAAAGAACGCTCCAAGAAAGACAAAATACATCAAAACCATGATTGTCTAAGTACAATTTCAAAACTTTCAATAAAAAGAAAACATCAAATACAAAGAAATAAAATTACGAAGAAAGACTCGATTGTTT